GATCATCTCATACAATAAAATTTAGCATCATGTCTTGACCATATCACATCACAACATGCCCTGCAAAAACAAGTTAGACGTCCTCTACTTTGTTGTTGCAAGTTTTACGTGGCTACTACGGGCTTAAGCAAGAACCAATCTTACCTACGCATCAAAACCACAACGATAGTTTGTCAAGTTGGTGCTGTTTTAACCTTCGCAAGGACCGGGCGTAGCCACACTCGGTTCAATTAAAGTTGGAGAAACTGTCACCCTCAAGCCACCTATGTGCAAAGCACGTCGGGAGAACCGGTCTCGCGTAAGCGTACGCGTAATGCCGGTCCGGGCCGCTTCGTCTAACAATACCGCCGAACCAAAGTATGACATGCTGGTAAGTAGTATGACTTATATCGCCCACAACTCACTTGTGTTCTACTCGTGCATATAACATCAACATATAAAACCTAGGCTCGGATGCCACTGTTGGGGAACGTAGTAATTTCAAAAAAATTCCTACGCACACGCAAGATCATGGTGATGCATAGCAACGAGAGGGGAGAGTGTGATCTACGTACCTTTGTAGATCGACAACAGAAGCGTTTGGTTGATGTAGTCGTACGTCTCCACGGCCCGACCGATCAAGCACCGAAACTACGGCACCTCCGAGTTCTAGCACATGTTCAGCTCAATGACGATCCCCGGACTCCGATCCAGCAAAGTGTCGGGGAAGAGTTCCGTCAACACGACGGCGTGGTGACGATCTTGATGTACGACCGTCGCAGGGCTTCGCCTAAGCACCGCTACAATATTATCGAGGACTATAGTGGAAGGGGGCACCGCACACGGCTAGGAATATGATCACGTGGATCAACTTGTGTGTCTAGGGGTGCCCCTTGCCTCCGTATATAAAGGATCCAAGGGGGGGTGCGGCCGACCCTAGTAGGAGGCGCGCAGGAGGAGTCCTACTCCTACCGGGAGTAGGACTCCCCTCCCTTTCCTTGTCCAAGTAGGAGAGGGGGAAGGAGAGAAGGAAAAGGGGGGGGGGGCGCCGCCCCTCCCTCCTTGTCCAATTCGGACTAGGGGGGGAGGGGGCGCACAGCCTGCCCTGGCAGCCCCTTCCTCTTCTCCACTTTAGGCCCATGAGGCCCATTAACCCCCCGGGGGGTTTCGGTAACCCCCCGGTGCTCCGGTTTTATCCGAAACTTCCCCGAAGCACTTCCGGTGTCCGAATATAGCCGTCCAATATATCAATCTTTATGTCTCGACCATTTCGAGACTCCTCGTCATGTCCGTGATCACATCCGGGACTCCAAACTAACTTCGGTACATCAAAACTCATAAACTCATAATATAACTGTCATCGAAACCTTAAGCGTGCGGACCCTACGGGTTCGAGAACAATGTAGACATGACCAAGACTCGTCTCCCGTCAATAACCAATAGCGGAACCTGGATGCTCATATTGGCTCCTACATATTCTACGAAGATCTTTTATCGGTCAGACCGCATAACAACATACGTTGTTCCCTTTGTCATCGGTATGTTACTTGCCCGAGATTCGATCGTCGGTATCCCATACCTAGTTCAATCTCGTTACCGGCAAGTCTCTTTACTCGTTCCATAATACATCATCTCACAACTAACTCATTAGTTGCAATGCTTGCAAGGCTTATGTGATGTGTATTACTGAGAGGGCCCAGAGATACCTCTCCGACAATCGGAGTGACAAATCCTAATCTCAAAATACGCCAACCCAACATGTACCTTTGGAGACACCTGTAGAGCACCTTTATAATCACCCATTTACGTTGTGATGTTTGGTAGCACACAAAGTGTTCCTCCAGCAAACGGGAGTTGCATAATCTCATAGTCATAGGAACATGTATAAGTCATGAAGAAAGCAATAGCAACATACTAAACGATCGGGTGCTAAGCTAATGGAATGGGTCATGTCAATCAGATCATTCACCTAATGATGTGATCCCATTAATCAAATAACAACTCTTTGTTCATGGTTAGGAAACATAACCATCTTTGATTAACGAGCTAGTCAAGTAGAGGCATACTAGTGACACTCTGTTTGTCTATGTATTCACACATGTATTATGTTTCCGGTTAATACAATTCTAGCATGAATAATAAACATTTATCATGATATAAGGAAATAAATAATAACTTTAATATTGCCTCTAGGGCATATTTCCTTCAGGTTGTGCCCACCTCGGGCGCCCACGAACCACCTCTTTGCTCTATAAATACCCCAATATTTCAGAAACCCTAGGGGAGTTGACGAAATATTCACCCAGCCACCGCAGAGTCCAGAACCACCAGATCCAATCTAGACACCATCACGGAGGGGTTCACCACCTCCACTAGTGCCTCTCCGATGATGCGTGAGTAGTTCTTTGTAGACCTTCGGGTCCGTAGTTAGTAGCTAGATGGCTTCATCTCTCTCTCTCTCTCTTGATTCTCAATACAATGGTCTTTTGGAGATCCATATGATGTAACTCTTTTGCGGTGTGTTTGTTGGGATCGATGAACTTTGAGTTTATAATCAGATCTATCTTTTTATATCCATGAAAATATTTGAAGTTCTTTGATCTCTTTTATGCATGATCTCTTATAGCCCCGTATTTCTTCTCCGATATTTGGGTTTTGTTTGGCCAACTTGATCTATTTATCTTGTAATGGAAAGAAGTGCCCGGTAGTGGGTTCAATCTTACGGTGCTTGATGCCAGTGAGAGAAAGGGAACCGACACGTATGTATCGTTGCTACTAAGGATAAAAAGATGAGATCTATATCTACCTCCATAGATAAACGGATCTCGTCTACATCATGCCATCATTCTTATTGCATTACTCCGTTTTTCCATGAACTTAATACACTAGATGCATGCTGGATAGCGGTTGATGTGTGGAGTAATAGTAGTAGATGCAGGCAGAAGTCGGTCTACTAATCTTGGACGTGATGCCTATGTAATGATCATTGCCTGGATATTGTCATAATTTTTTGAGGTTGTATCAATTGCCCAACAGTAATTTTTTCACCAACCGCTTTGCTATTTTTCTCAAGAGAAGCCACTAGTGAAACCTACGACCCTCGGGTCTCTTTCTCATATTATTTGCCTTCGCGATCTATTTTTATTTGTTTTTATTTTCAGATCTATTAAACCAAAAAATCCAAAAATACCTTACTGCAATTTATTTTATTTGGCATTCGATCTATCAATATTTACAAGTCTCTCCCGTCAACACGCCATTTCTGGCGCCGTTATCCGAAAGGGATTGACAACCTCTTTAACACCTCGGGTTACGAGTGGTTGTTATTTGTGTGCAAGGGCTGATTACGTTGTGTTGCTTGATTCTCCTACTGGATCGATAACCTTGGTTTCATATCTGAGGGAAATACCTACCACCGCTGTGCTGCATCATCCCTTTCTCTTTGGGAAAAAACCGACGTAGCTTCAAGCGACATCAGTCGCGCCGTCGTGCCGCCGACAAACGCATGAGCTCCATGCATCTTGGCATCTGCTCTCCTCCAAAGCTCCAACATTCAGTCTTGCCAACATCCCTGCTAGGCGCTGGTGCATGAGCCCCCTGCCTGCCGGCCTGATTTTCTGTAGGACACATCACACAACACCAACAAGGCAACATAAGTAAACTAGCATCTTCCTCCAAATTCCCCATTTGATAAGCAATAGCCTGATTTCTTTCAGTTCCTTACATCTAGTGATAACTAATAGTCTGATTTTATGCAAATTGCAACCTAGGTAGTCATAGGCGGGGGAAATTAGACTCGGACAAGAGCTGTTTCGGTATTTAAAAGAAAAAGAGATGACATAGCCGAAGTTGAGTAAGACAATGTATTGCTCTTGCTTGAATTAGCTAACTTAATGGTGCTTCATGGTTTTGTATTGGCTAACTTAACGGTCCTTCATGGTTTGGTATTAGCTAACTTAATGATGCTTCATGATTGAATTGTATTTTGATGTGTGTGTCTATCTGCTCGCTCCATCTACCTTGCATCACATACTAATGCTTATGATTTAGATTTTTTTTAAATCAGGCTCTTCTTTAGTTTGACCCGTCCGATAGTTTCTTTCAAGCTTCGCCATTGCACGCAACCAAACGCAGAGGGCAAATTAGTGCATCATGGAGGGAGATAGTATGCTGACAACCAAACTATGTGCACAACATGATTTTCAACCTGCATCCTAAAATTGTGGGGAAAAAGATCTTACATTTCGAGATAGAGTGGCAATCTGCTTAAATTGAATAGAATAGGGATTTTTTTATTAAATTGGATATAATCTATCACCAACCAACACATATGCATAAAAATGAATTAACTCTTATTAGATCAGTAACTGCATAAATTTGAATTGTTTTACGTTTATAAACGGGTGGTTTCAGTACGTTTTCAGAGAAAGCAAGTGAGTAAGTGACTATTAGGCTGGTCATAGTGGGGAGTAACTTAGACTAGTAACATACATATGTTACTAGTCTATGTTACTACCTTCATAGTGGGTAGTGTCATATGTGTGGTAACATAGTTGCCTTCATTTATTACTTTGTAGACTCATTATGCATTGGAAACCGCTATGTGATGGTAACATATTATGTTACTCTATTTGCCTCTCTCCTCATTAACTACTTGCCACATCATCATTTTTGCTTATGTGGCATCTATGTTACTACCTATGTTACTCCCACTATGACCAGCCTTAGTGCACACGCGTTTGTATTAATCAACTAAGCAAGTGAGTAAGTCACTGCATTAGTGGACACGCGTTTATATCAAAGCAACTAGTTGGCTGGCAACAGCCTGGTTACTTGGACCACGGGAACGGCTCGTTTAGCATATGCGCAGCGGCATTCACATCTCGCACTGCGCTCCCCTATATAAACAGATCCCCGCTTGCCATTGCTTCCCACACACTCACAAATAGCACCATACACGACACGGACACGGACACGTACGCAAAACCTTCTTCCCAAATCTAAACCCCTCCTCCTCCCAAATGGCGAAGAGAAACCTCCTCCTCCTGGCGCTAATGGCGCTCGCCGCTAACATGGCATCCGCGTCGGCTACCACGAGCACGAGGAAGCTCATGTTCCTGGTCCAGCCCCAGCCGAACCTCCTCACGTACCACAACGGCGCCGTGCTGCACGGCGACATCCCCGTCTCCGTCCTCTGGTACGGCCGCTTCACGGCTGCGCAGAAGGCCATCGTCTCCGACTTCCTCCTCTCCCTCTCCGCCGCGCCCCGCGCGTCCCCGGCGCCGTCCGTGTCCCAGTGGTGGAGCAGCATCCACCAGCTGTACCTCTCCAAGGCGGCGGCCGTCGGCAAGAACGGCGAGCACGGCGCCGGCGCCACCAAGGCCGCGCGGGTGGTCCTGTCCGGCCAGGTCTCCGACGAGGCGTGCTCGCTCGGGAAGAGCATGAAGCTGTCCCAGCTCCCGGCGCTGGCGGCGAAGGCGAGGCCCGCCAAGGGCGGCATCGCGCTGGTGCTCACGGCGCAGGACGTGGGCGTGGAGGGGTTCTGCATGAGCCGGTGCGGCCGGCACGGGACCGTGGACGCCAAGTCCGGCACGGCCTACGTGTGGGCCGGCAACCCGGCGACGCAGTGCGCCGGGCAGTGCGCGTGGCCGTTCCACCAGCCGGCGTACGGGCCCCAGGCGCCGCCGCTGGCCGCGCCCAACGGCGACGTGGGCATGGACGGGCTCATCATCAACGTGGCCAGCATGGTGGCCGGCGCGGTGACCAACCCGTTCGGCGACGGGTTCTACCAGGGGGAGCGCGAGGCGCCGCTGGAGGCCGCGACGGCGTGCCCGGGGGTGTACGGCAAGGGGGCGTACCCCGGGTACGCCGGCCAGCTGCTGGTGGACGGCGCCACCGGAGCGAGCTACAACGCCCACGGCGCGCACGGGAGGAAGTATCTGCTCCCGGCGCTGTTCGACCCCGCCACCTCCGCCTGCTCCACGCTCGTCTAGTCGTACGGCGGCACAGTGGCAGCGACAAGTGAAGTGAGTCCAATCCGCTAGCTGCCCGTCTAGCCAAGAGTGTATTGGGTACAACTAGTACTGTACCGTAGTGCATATATGTGTGAATAGTTCGTATATGAGCTTGTGTTTGGATCTTCTCGTGCTAAATAAAAAAATGTAAATCAGCCTTTGTACTGCACAAATGGAGTGTACACTAGTGGTAATTTTGTTTGTGTCGTACGGTACGGTGCGGAAGCGGCAGCACGTGAACGAATTAATCTCGAACTTGGTGGTGAAGCTTATCTTATCTTCCGAGCGGCGCCGACGAGGACAAGGGGATGCCTGCTTCGATGAGGGATAGGCCTCGACCCTCTGGTCCGACGTGTCCGTGCTGCACATTGCCGTACTGGACAACAGAGCGCCCGTCCGTGGTGATGTGACACGTAAGACACGTTTCGGTGGTGACGCGTCACAGCATGTGTGACTGTGACCGAGAGTACTCTCTTTTTTCATGCTGCTGGGTGGGTTGTCTTTTAGAAAAAAAAAGTAGAGATATCCAGGAAATCAAGGCGCTGTAGGAGAACGACTAGAGAGGTTATTATGGTCAAGCTTATCAGCCGCAATTAAAATAGTGAGTGATGCCCTTGCTGAGTACGAGCGTACAATGCCACGCACTGCTGTGTGGTTTAGGTTCTACTCCCTCCGTTTTATAATATAAGATCGTTGCTGTGTGGTTTAGGTTTTACTCCCTTCGTTCTATAATATAATATAAGATTATTTTACAAGCTAACTAGGTTCTACTCTCTCTGTCCTACTCTCTTCGTACAGAATTACTTGTCGCAGATATATATACATATATATATATATATATACATATATATATATACATATATATATATACATTTCTTGAATATAAGATCGTTGTTGTATGGACAAAGAAAGTAGAGATTGCTAGCCTTTGTATGAAATATATTATACCCCCTAATTTAATACAGTCTCTTTTTCCTGCAAGAAAAAATAATTGAGTTGTGGGATCAACTATTTAGACTCATTTTTTGAGAAACACACGTAGTTTTACTCATACTCATAACAATTACAGGTATATTGGTTTGGATATAAAATTGACAAAATTACAAAGTAACTTCTACAACTAATAATTTCATTGAAATCCTTGAAAACACCTTCTTTAGCGTATCAGACTTCGCTAAAGAGGTTGCAATAGATTTCTTTTTTGACAGGTAGAGGTTGCAATGGGTGAGGATCATTTATTTAGACATCTAGGATAAGATATGTTGGGCTGGGTTGGGCTTGTCTGAGCAAAGATCTATTGGGCCTTAATAGTGCTTACCTTCTCTCATGTTGTAGTGCTTAAATTTGCCAGATCTAATCGGGAGCCCCGGGAGCAACTAGTTAACGAGCGCTCCTTCGGGAGCCTCACAACTATCAGCGTCACTTCGCACGCTCTCAGTCATTCGCCACGTGTCACGCTCTGAATGCTTCCTTTGGATTTTGTTTTTTTATTTTTTCGCACGCGTTTTTGACCTTTTAAACGGTTTTTTCTGGGTTTTGGTTTTCTTCCGGTCTTCTTACCTTTTCGATAAAAAAAATTCGAATTTTTTTGCGCGAAAATAATGCATTTCCCCCCGCAAAAGTCATGCTTTTTTTCCACGAGAGGCACGGTTGTGCTTTAGCGAGAGTCACGGCCGTGCCTTCGGAAACGGAAAAAATGCGTTTTCTGTTTTTTTTTTCTTTCACGAGAGTCACGGTTTGCTTCCGTGAGAGGCACGGTTGTACTTTCGCGGCCGTACCTCTCGGAAAGGGAAAAACAAAACACGTTTTTTGTTTTTTTCTGTCGCGAGAGTCACGGCTTTGCTTCCGCGAGAGGCATGGTTGTGCTTTCGCGAGAGTCACGGCCATGCCTCTCGGAAAGGGAAAAAATATGTGTTTTCTGTTTTTTTCCTTCGCGAGAGTCACGGTTTTGCTTCCGCGAGGGGTATGGTTGTGCTTTCACGAGAGTCACGGTCGTGCCTCTCGGAAACGGAAAAAAACGCGTTTTCTGTTTTTTTTTTCCTTCCACGAGAGTCACGGTTTTGCTTTCACGAGAGGCACGGACGTGATTTCGCGAGAGGCACGGGCGTGCCTCTTTCGGGAAGGGAAAAAAACTATGCTCCCGCTTTCGGTTTTTCGCCCGGTTTTTTTTGTCCGGTTTTTTTGTGAGAAAAAAAGTTCGTCAAAACTTATCAACATGAGATCTAATTTTGAAGATCTCGACGCGAGGAATCCAACGATGAAAATGGTTCAAGATTTGGACGCACGGTTAAAAGATTAAACGTTTTGAATAAACGAATCTACGAAAAAAGGGAAAACTCTCATGTTGCGACAAGTGACGGCTGCATGTGAGCCATTTGTCGCGACCTAGGAAAGTGAAGTGTTCTTTCAACGAGTATTCCTTAATTAGTGATTTTAGGGAGCCCCTAGCTGACCCTCGCGTGCGTCAAGAAGACGAGCATTCGCGCAGGTCGCGGTTGGATGGGCCGGCCCGTTTCTTGGCGTTACAGCGAGCCAGTGCCAAAAATCCCAAAAAAGAATGTTGTACGTAGGAATCATACTCCCAATCCAACGATAGAGAGTTAGCGTTCCTTACCACTGGAGCTGCTGCGTCATTGCAATTAAAACGCTGCGTGACTACTTGAGAGCTATATGTACTGACTGATCCAAAAATAAAAAATTGACCATTGAACATTTTCTGATATACGTTGAACATTTTCGTAATATACAATGAACATTTCTCAAATACCCATTGAACCTTTCTTGTCATATATGCTGAACAATTTGAAAAATACATATTTAACATTTTTTTGTGATATAACCTGAACAATTTAAAAATACACATTGAACATTTATCTTTGGAGGGCAATTCCATACGATGAACATTTTTGAAAAAATGAATATATGCGCTGGACAATTTTCAGATACACACTGAACATTTGTGTAATATACAGTGAACAAAATTAAGAAACATAGTGAACATTTGTACATTCGTTGAAAAAACAAAGCTAAAAGAGAAAAACCAAAACCAAAAAAGGAAAACAGGACAAAAACCAAAAACCAGAAGAGAAACAGGAGAAAATCAAACCAGAAGAAATGTAAACAAAACTAGAAGAAGAAAACCGGAACAAATCCAGAAAAAAAAAACAAGAGAGAAAACCAAACGTGGAAGAAAAAAAACTAACGAAAGAAACATCAGCGAACGAAAAAGAAGCATGCGAACCCCGTAGTGGGCCGGCCCAATATGCACGCGAACGAAACACCTGCGAGCGTTTCCTCGTCAGCTTGCCGCCCGCGCACGTCAAATAGGAATTGCCGATCTAGTCTGTCCTGGGATTCGTGGACGGATAGTCCACCTCCCACACACATGGAGCGCCCTTACGGGACTAACCCTAGAAAAAAGTGAACATGTATGAAATAGAGAAGATTTGTATGTTTTTGAAAAAACGAATCTTTTAAAAATTTGTGTGTTTTTAAAAAAATGAATTTGTTTTGGAAACACAAATATTTTGGAAAAAACACCACATTTTTTGAAATACGTCAACATTTTCAAAAATATGAAACATGTACTATGATATAGAGAAGATTTTTCCAAGCATCTGCATTTCTTGAATTAATGAAATAATTTTTAAAATTATAACATTTATTGAAATTCTGAATAATTTTCGAAAACGATTTTTTAAAGGAACATTTTTAAAAAACTCCTAAAAATTCAAAACACAGACTTTTTTGAAAAGTCCAGTTTGGTTCTAAAATTCAGAAGAACTTTTGAATTTTTTGAATATTCCTCATAAGATTAGTTTTTTAAAAAGAAAACCAAAAAAAGAAGAAAGAAACAACAGAATGAGCAAAAGAAACCATAAAAACCGAATCTAAACCTTCTAGAAAGTTCCCAAAAGCAGAAATGAACCGGCCCAGCTGGCTAGGTCCTGTGCGAAGCCCCGACAGTTTGACGCTAAGCACATCAAATAAGGATTTCACCTATTTCATGTTGCGCGTTCGATAGCTGCCAATCACGTACCTAGTAGCCCCCGACGACGCTAATTGTGCATATCCAATAAGCACACTAGGCTACTAAAGGTTATGTGCTATTCTCTGCTATTTCTTGAAAACTGATTCTCAGTATTTTATCGTTGTTTATCATTCAGTTTTTTTCTTGGTTGGTTCTTTTGTATCAAATACTTCCAAAATCACAAAATGTTCCGGAATTTAAAATATTGTGAACTTCACGATACATGTATTTAAAAAAATATTATTGTATATAAGAAATAATCATGAGTTTCAATTTTGTCTGTGAATTTGAAAAAATATCTGTGAATTGAAAAATTATTCAGAATTTTGAAAAATATTCGCCAATTCTATAAATGTTTGTGCATTCAAAAATGTTCTCATATTCGAAAAATGTTTGCAAATTCAAAAATTATTCACACATGTGGAAAATGTCCATGAATTCAGAAAATGTCCACAAATACAAATTAAAAAAGGTGCATGAATACAAAATTATTCACTCATTCAAAAAAAACTAAATTTTGAGAAATATTTTAGAATTCGAAAAATATTCAGAAGTTGAAAAAATATAGGGCACATTTATTTCGGTTTTTTGCCTTCTAGTTTTCTTACTACATTAAAATATCGATAAACAAGATCAAAAATAGAGAAAAATGAGGGAACTAAAAAATGACTTAAAGAAACAAAAACAAATATAAATATGACGAGGAAAAAGACAGACGGAACAACCAATTGGGCTGGCCTAGTATGCATTTCCTTGCTGTCTATAGCTGGGCACACCTATGTCTCACTTCCAACACAATTGGGTTTGGTGCATTTGCTAAAAAACAAATTTGGTTTGGTGCAAAAAATGGCATGCCAATATTTGGCATTTTGTCAAATATTGGCTACTAATTGGCCGGTTATCAAGTTGTTTTGCCTATCTCACATAAAGTTATTATTATTTGGCAAGT